GGGGGCGGGGGGGGGAAATCACTCTTAAGACAAACAGGTAACTGGTACCAGCATAATTATGAAAGTAGCGGAAGTAACAACTTACACTTTCCCCCACTACCAATGACTAACCAAAGAGGTTTTGCATACTCTATCAATACAGTTCTGTTTCAGAACTGTTTTACAGTTCTGGTTTGTTTATTTTTAGGAAAGCAATAAAAGTGTTTTCAATTATATTTTTTAACCCACATATACTTTAGCTGTTGCGCATTTGACTTGGAAAAGCAGTATCCTTATTCAAGCTATGAGGAAACCTCTATCAGCTCCTGAACTAGAAACGGGAACTTGATACAGTTCATATTCACTTCATCCTGTAGATATTAGCCAAACACATTAATTCAGCCCATTAAAAACAGAACAAACTAATCCTGCTTTAGACACATACATTAATACCCTACAGATAAACAGAAGATGCACAGCTGCCACTTCTATGCAATTATCACTGTCTATAAAAGGAAGGAAGGGTTACTTCGCAGAAACTACAATAACAAGTGGGCACCAGCACTTGAGATCCCAAGTAAAATTCAAGTTTAAGGTCTAAACTCTCCATTAACGAGCAAACCTCTTCTCTGTAACTGCCACTACAATCCAAGAGTACAGGCATCCACAGCCCAGAATTACTCTCCCACCTAACCACAGTAAATCTGTAAATCTTCAGGAAAACAACATATGCCAGCAGAGGTAATCAACTCCCAGAGGATGAATCCTATAAAAACATATACTAAAAGGCAGTACACTAAGATGCATGCATTCTTTAAGCAATAAACCACAGACACTATGCTCTTAGAGCAGCATTTATTATTTTCCTATACTGCAAGTTATCTGTGCAAAACTGTGCTTTCAATGCATAACTATTCTTGCTCTCCATCAGACCACAAATTAAAAGGTCTGGAGAAGAAAACAGGTATTACAGAGTTTCTCCACCACCTATTCTGCACATAGCAGTTTCCTTCATAAAATAATCTCTTTACAAAGCAACTGTTTCAGGTTAATTCATGTCATGAGGAAAATACATTGCGGCAGAAATTATTTGAAACTGGTTTTAATGCACTGAAGAACTAGTAGTTTGTCCCATCAAAACACAAATACCTGTAAAATCCTACATTGTGTGTATTTACTCAATCAGCGTAAGAACCAGTACTGTGTACAAAACTAAGCAGTACTGGTGAATACAGAGAAGTCTGTTTAAAGACCACTCAGAATAAAACAGAGCCAACAGCAATTTCTTTTACGCACCTTAAGTAATGATTAGACAGTTTTAAGTCACAGGTTGTTCTTTTATTTTTACTACAAAATACAAGTACTGGATATGACCTAAGCAGAAAACATCGCAGGACCTGAAAAGTCTGTTTTGGCTACAATAAAAAATAAAGTCCATCCGTAATGAAAAATAACATCTTCGTTTTCACCTATCATTTATCCACCAACCTACCATCCCTGAGGCAAAGGCAGCAAGATGCAGCTCCCACCACCAGCAGTGGATCACATATCCTCTTGCCACCAGGCAGATGGAAGGGAATTAACAGGAGGGGAGTGGAAACAAGTTCCTGCTCGGGGAGGTCAGTGTGTCCCCTCCTGCCCACCCTCCCTCCCGGTTGCCTCTGCAGAACAGATATGGGGCTCTGGAACTTAAGAGCCAGGCAATTGAGGAGGTAGAAGAGGGTCTATCCAGGGAGTTGCCCAGGACGACTCCATTAACCCACTCCCGTTGCGACTGCCACCATTAAGAAAAGGAGGGTCATTGTCTAGGTGATTCCCTTCTGAGAGGAGCAGTGTCTGATATGCCGACCAGATCCACCCCACAAGGAAGTCTGCTGACCCCCTGGGGCTGGGTTAGAGGCATCACCAGGAAACTCCCTGGTCTGGTACAGCCCTCGGATTATTACCCGCTACTGGTCATGCAGGTGGGCAGTGATGAGGTTGCAGAAAGAAATCCAAAAGACATCAAAAGGGACTTCAGGGCCCTGGAGTAATTGGTTGCAGGATCCAGGAGCACAGGCAGTGTTCTCCTCAACCCCTTTAGTGTGAGGGAAGGATGCTGGAAGGAACAGGAAAGCGCACCTGATCAGCACGTGCCTCAGAGGTTGGTACCAATGGTGGGATTTTGGGGTTTTTGCTCATGGGGAGGTTTACACAGCACCAGGCCAGATGGTGCCAGATGGCATTCAGCTGTCCCAAAAGGGAAAACAGATTCTTGCCCATGAATTGGGCTCATCAAGAGGGCTTTAAACTAGGTTTGAAGGGGGAAGGGCACAAAACCACTAGTGCCACCAACAGATGCCCAGAGTCTGGAGAAGAATCACAGGTGACCAAGAGAGCTCCTGGCAAACAAAACAAGACAATTCTGGGTGCTCCAGTACTCAAGCCAACTTCAGCGGGAGTCCACCTTAAATACCTCTATGGGAACGCACGGAGCGTGGGAAATGAACAAGAGGAGCTAGACGACATCGTGGAGAGGTGGTGAGATGGCTCCTATGGCTGGAGTGTCAGAATGGAAGGATACAGGCTCTTTAGGAAGGACAGGCAGTGGAGATATGGAAGGGGTGTTGCTCTCTGTGTCAGAGACTAGCTGGGGTGTGTGGAACTCCACCTGGGGATGGATGAGGAGCAGACAGAGAGCTGATGGCTCAGGATTACAGGAAGGGCAAGGAGAGGGGATACTGTAGTAGGAGTTTGATACAGTCCACCAGGCCAGGACGAGCAAGTGGATGAGGCCCTCTACACATAGCAGCAGCCGCACAGTCACAAACCCTGGTCCTCATGGGGGACTTCAACCACCCCGATCGAGTGCACCCTCAGCAAGTTTGCCAATGACACCAACCTGTTTGGTGCGGTCGACATACTGGAAGGAAGAGATGCCACAAGAGGGCCCTGGACAGGCTGGAGAGGTGGGCCACTGCCAACCTCATGGAGTTCAACAAGGCCAAGGGCAAGGTCCTGCACCTGGACTGGGGCAATCCCAAGCAGAAGCACAGGCTGGGTGGAGAATGGGTGGAGAGCAGCTCTAAGGAGAAGGACCTGGGGGTGCTGGTGGATGAAAAGCTGAACATGAGCCGGCAGTGTGCGCTGGCAGCCCAGAAGGCCAACCGTATCCTGGGCTGTATCCAGAGCAGGGTGGCCAGCAGGTCAAGGGAGGGGGTTCTCTCCCTCTGCTCTGCTCTTGTGAGACCCCACCTGGAGTTCTACATCCAGCTATGGGGCCCCCAGCATAAGAAGGACATGGACGTGTTGGAGCGAGTCCAGAGCAGGCCACGAAGATGATCAGAGGGCTGGAGCACCTCAGCCATGGACACAGGCTGAGAGAGTTGGGTTCTTCAACCTGGAGAAGAGAAGGCTCTGGAGAGACCTTATAGCACCTTCCAGTACCTGGAGGGGGCCTACAACAAAGCTGGGAGGGGACTTCTTACAAGGGCCTGTAGTGACAGGACAAGGGGTAATGGGTTTAAAATGAATGTGGTAGAGGTTTAGATTAGGTATCAGGAAGAAATTCTTCCCTGAGAGGGTGGGGAGGCACTGGAACAGGTTGCCCAGAGAAGCTGTGGATGCCCCATCCCTGGATGTCTTCAAGGCCAGGCTGGATGTGGCTTTGAGCAACCTGGTCTAATGGAAGGTGTCCCTGTCCATGGCAGGAGGGTTGGAACTGGATGATCTTTAAGGTCCCTTCCAACCCAAACCATTCTGTGATTCTATGATTTAAAATATATACATAATAATTCTTAAAAAAAAAAAAATTCCACAAAACAAACATTTGCTAAATTCAGTGCAACAAATTAAGTTCCTAACACTTCTTAAAACCAAAAAAAAAAAATCACTAAATTCAGTCATGACAACATTAAATGCAGCTGAACACTTAATAAGAGAGAAGTTATGCTGAGAGTGATCTCATCTTATGCTTATCAGCTGACCTTCCAAATCTTCTATATTCATCTTATTGTCACACTGATATCCAGCAGCCGACACTTCCATGATAAAATATGAATACTAACTATTAGGACAATAAAAATATCCATGTCTAAACAGAACGAAGCCAAATACTGCAAATTTAAAGTTTCAAGTGATTGCCTCGAAATAAAAAGAGAAGCCTAAGTTACATTTGTTGTTCACAACGAACAGATGAGTTCTCAGTGAGACTGAAGTATTTCAAAATATGAAAATTTAAGAAGAGATCCCTCAAATGTGCAATCAATTATCCTATACTGCTAAGATAAACATGAGTAGTTGATAATTATTTTGATAAAGCAAGGATTCAGTTATGGCCACTGAACTTTTAAATCCATGATAGAAGTCCAAAATATTCCAGCCTCATTTCTAAAAATGGAAGTGTATTCATAAGAAAAAACAAAACTATCATGTTCATACTCACCGGAACTTTACTTCCGACTATCTGCATGCAGTGGTCAGCCAAGAGAGGTTATTGTGTAAAAAAGATAATAATAATACATGAATAAACACAGCAAAGTTCTTAGTAGGATGTAGCATCACACAATTTTTTCAGTGTTTAATCATTAGTAGTAGTTATATTCTGTTATTATTTCATCAAACTATTTATGAGTTACAGCTTCTCAACAGGAAAACAGTAATTCTACTGTAGAAGAATTAATTTGAAATCCTGATGTTCTGCTGCTGAATCATCACATTACCAACACATTAGCAACAAATAACCTAGGTTAACATCTACATCTTGAACGATCAAGAGATATGCCATTTTCTTTGAAATCATCAGGTCAGATATTTTATATCTGACACAGAAAACTACAGAAAAAGCTAATGGCATATTGACTTCCTTGTACATATAACAACTTCATTTATTATGGAGTTTTTGATCTATTTAGATGATGTCATCACTGCATTTAATTAAGTTGTCATAATCAAAAACATAGCCTACAGTTAACTAACTTGCATTTCAGAAAATCTCATGTGGCATTTTTCTTCAACTGCTCAGTATGGATGCTTTTAATTACATGGGTAATTAAACAGTGATTTACAGAATGACATCTTCTCTTTTTACCACAGAACAGCGTCCCTGCATATTCATGATCAAGAAGCTGGCTTTACACAGAAGAAACTCCGCAGAAAGGCAGTACAACTCTGCCTTGTTCTATCACTTTGCACAAATGACCACGTTCCTGTGAACACCAGGACTATGGACTTCTGTCTAAGTACTGTAGGCCTTCCCTTGTCAGCTATTTGCTGCCCTCTGACAGCAGCATTCAATAAACACTTTTATCTGATTAAGAGCCTGAGACTATGATTTCGTTTCTAGGTCTGAATTTGACTGTACCTGTTCAGCCTCCAACTGCTTCACTTTTCACTCTTATCTCTTCCATTATTCTTTTAGGAAGTCTTTCAGAATACAGAAGTCCCTGAAAGTCTTTGGCAATTACCTCTCCTCTCCTGATGAAGGTTCCTCTAGAAGCATAGGATGGACTGTCATCACCAGACAATCTCTTTCCTTACTTCACTGCTGCCTTCTCTCTACCGATGTTCAACTCATTCAATATGGCATGAGATGTGACCAAGTACAGTTCCAAAATACAAATCTGAGCCTTCACCATTTCCCAAGTAAAATTTGCATGGTCAAATCCTTCTCTTCAAATGAGAGATTGATTCAGAAACACAGATAATCACTTTACATGAAAGCACCCATCTTAGTAGCTTCTCTCCTTCCTCCAATCCCCCAAGGAAAAGGAAAGCTTTTATCCCCATCCATTGAAAACCAAGGTTTTTCTCACTCAGAACTCTGAAGACTGTACAGCATTTCAGAAAAGCATAGTCAACATGCTGCAGATGGCACATACAAGGCAAAGAAAAATGAAGCACCAAATTGAGAAATAATTTGGTTAAGACAAGTTCAGCAAATGGGAGTGGTATTTTCAAAAGAGTGGAGAGCTCAAAAGCCTAACTAAAACAAGCATGAAATGAACCAAGAGAAGTCACATCAACTGTTAAGTGTGTTTTGTGAGCTCTAAGCAGAAGAAAAGGCTCAAGTATTTTCAGTATGAAAAAAAAAAAAAGGAAGACAGATGAACAATTATCTGTCACCAAAGAAAAAGGTAGAAAATTTTAAGAAAGATCATTTTGAATGTGATCAGCATTTTCATGGAAGACAAGCCTGAAGCAAAGTAAGATTGACAATTCATGATGCAGTAAAAATTAATTAGGGCTTGAATTCAACTAAGTAGAATAGTAGTTCAACTAAACCGAAAACAAAATTAACAGTGAAAATGAGGGTTCGGTTTACTGGAAGATCCCAATCAACGTTTTAGCACTGAGCATTACTACTTATATTTTTTAAACCAATTAAGATGCTAAATTAAAAGCTAAATTAGGGTAACACTACAGAAAGGTCATTTATATTTCTGTACAACCTTAAATTATTCCATTTAAGTACTGTGATTCCGTTGCAAGAACGACTTACTGAGGCACAAACATCCATATAAGCCCTTTTTCTATTACAAAAAACATTTTGCATATGTAGAAAACATCCATACTGGCACTGACTTAAGTTCAAAGTGTACATTCTTGTATGAGGACATTGTGGGGGAGGGGGGTGTATTTATTTATTTTTTACTTGTTAGTACATGTTGGAAAATGCCCACAGTTCTGTTAAGTTTCCCATGCTGCAGCTCATATGGCGGCAGTAATGCAGTCTGTTAATATGTTCAGCAGCTAGACATGCAATGGTTGCCATGCTTTTCTTCTTCAGCTACAAAATTACGGCACTTGAGGCAGCTAAAGCAGTATCACTATATATAAGAGAGATCATCAACGTCCAAAAAATTTTTGGGAAAGATTTGCAAGTGCATCTATTGTGAAAGTTTCAACTGCTTTACTAAAAATAGTTCTGCTTAGTAAGAAAAATTTACCATTGATAATCAATTGCAGAGAAAAGTCTTTCAACATATAATCAGTAGTTCCCAAAGACAGCCTAGGCAAAGTACATTAACAGAAAAATTCTTAATAGTCACTCCATAAACTTAAATAATTCTCCAACAACTTGCATGCTTAGCTAGACCATGCATCAAGCACTGGATTCCTTCCAAGACAGACTGAAGGACTGCGGATTTTGATTAAGATGAACTCATGCAAGAACATCACTCCTCTCAAAAATGTAAATCACTGATTTCACATTATGAAACAAGTTTTTCCTCTCTTCAGTTTATAAAGTTTAATGCAGAGCATTTGCATTTAATCATTGCATGTCACTGTAAGGTTTTTTTTAAAATTTAACTCCGCAGAGATAATTTTAAAGGTTAAAAGAAAAACAAGTCAACTGTACTGCTTGCCGTTCATGCTTACAGATTAGACAGACAGCAACATAACATTATTTGCCCGTTTATTTCACCTAAAAACAGATTATTAATGCTGTCGGTATTTAGCACTCAGACTCAGCTCTGCAGAAATGCTAGCAGTGCTACCCTTACGTATTTGAACCATTATTCCACACACAGTCTTCATATCCAGTAAACTTTTATTGCACATTAACTGGGGGGGGGAGGGGAATATTAGATTCATCCTAACTTCCAAATAAAATAATATACATTACCTAATTTTACTGAGAACTTTGCTGATAACAAATTTTATCACTTAAAGCATACTAGTGCCCTTTGGATACACAAAGCTGCCCCCCAACACTGCTTCTCCCTTCTCCCAATACTGCGATGCATCCAGTTCCTCAGAATTCACCCCTACCTTCTTCAAAATTCTTTATACAACAAATACTGGCACAAATCAGGAAAAATCTATTTCTAGGGAAATCACAAGCTATATATATGTATGTGTTTTATCCAACATTCATGAATTTTTGTGGCATACTCTCCTTCTACATGATAAGAACTCTATTTCCCACAGTCAATTTTTAAACACACAAAAAGCATTACTGTTACATTTTCTAACTAACTAGTACTAATATTCCCACTGCAGAAAATAAATTGCAGGTCTTCACCATTTGCAACTGTATTACTCCACCCCAACAAATGTCAGGACATCCAGTAGTTCTCTTACGCTTCTGGCACCCCAGAACAGATAGAATTCAAAAGATTCTGCATGAAGGATCCATCAACTAAGGCTTAATCAATCAACTTCAGTACAGAGAAAAATCAACAAGAGTAAAATGTCTAAATATATTTTTTTTCTACTCCAAATATAATTTGAGATTCATTAAAACTATCTTTTCACTAAAGGAATCATTTACCTTCAGAGCATTTCTTAACAGAACATTTAATGCAGTCTTGAGGCCAGCTACAGCACTCAACATATTCAAATTAAGCTTTGGCATTGCTTCAATTTTAATTATTTTCAGTATTTTGAATCCCTGTTTCTAACACTGCAAACTGTACATCCAGTATGTATGTCATTAATAAAGCCATAAATTCATGCTATCCCTACCAAAAACTTTTGGTACCAAAAAATCGTTAGGATTAATTCCACAGGAATATGCTCAGGTTCCACCCATTACTCTACACCATTGGATTTCCAAAGTTTGAAAGAAAGCATCACGTTTTTACATTGCCTGACAACTCAATATAAACTAACCCTTCACAAACAGCTGCAAACATTTAGAAGTATATTAGTAACTACAGATTTTGGTTTTTCCTACCTCATTTAAACAATAAATAGAGACCAAAAAATAAAAAGTTTCAAGCTTGAAAAGTGTAACATACAAAGCTAAACTTAATTGCATCTGTCTTCGAGAAGTGACTACTTACAGATTTGGCAGTTGCAGAAATGTATTGGACAACCATCTCACGTTTTGTGGTCAAGTCTTTATCTCTTAAAGGAGCTTTACGTTCTTCATTTAGATTCATGTCTTCCTGTAAAGAAACAGACCACACAAGATCAAGATTCTATTTCGGTTTTTTTATTATTTTTATACTCCTTTTCCATAAACAAATGGCTCATTTTTAAACAAATTACTTCTTCCAGCTTATCTGCATTTCAGTTTAATTCTGTGCTACCCAATTTTCTCATTTAATTCTGTTACTTCAAGTGTTCACTGTTATCAAGACTTAGCCAAAATTATAATTGCCTCAAGGGTAGTTACCATTACTGAAAGCTGACTTTAGAAATAAAACTAGAGGACAAAACCAAAAATGCTACACCTCAAGTTTATCACGTAAGTGTTAACTATTGCCAAGTTCCTGTGTTTTTTATAACACTTTATCACAACAGACACCATTCTTGCACTACCTAGTAAGAAGGCTGTTGTTACATAGATTATTAGTTTGTGGCACAGATAGATGTGAATGTGTTCCAACTGTTTTATTTAAAACAAACCTAAAAATCCAAATATTCTGCTAGATTAAATTTAAAGAGGTCTGTTTCAAATTAATAACTCACTAAATACAACCATAGTCATTACTAGTCTTGAGCTGTCTTGCCATAAAAAGTCAAAGTAATTTCATGTTAGCAACTAAACCCAGGAAATATTCCTTTAACAACCTAACTAGCCAAGAGCTTTTTCAAAGAATTCTTAGTCTCTTGAAGACAGACCTATTGTCTGCTTCAATTAACACTACTTAGAAAAGTTAAAAATTAATCCCTTATTCTAACAAGCAAATCAAGAAAGTAATTAACACTTATCAAATCTTTCAAAAGAGATCCACAGCTTCACTGAACAGAGAAGAGCTACACAATGGAAAAGGATGGTTCTTGGGCCATACTGCGTGGAAGTTGACAACAGTTTTGAAGAATGATACAGAAAACAGTATTTTCAACAATACTCAAAATATTGCATTTCCTTATACTTCATCTATCAACACAAATGTGCATGGCAGAATTAATGTACACCTACTTCAGAAGTTTGTTTCTGTATTACTGACAAAAAAGCTTGTTTGTGAGTGGAATCACAAACCTTGACAAGTCATCCTAAGACCAAAAATATTCAGGACTATACAAAAATTTAACTTTCTATACATTAAAATTCATTAATGGAAATTAACATTTTCCAAAGGTCTTTACTTAAGCTGATTAAAAACTATGCTTTAACAGCAGTATCTAACTACTAAAACTAAGGCCTACAGAGGTTATCTTAATGAAGCACTCAACAACTTAAGACTTTTATTTCTGGCTTTATGCCTTTATTTGTTCTGTAGAAATAGACCAAGTCATTTAAAAATATATAATACCAGCATTCTCTGAGTTTTCCAAATGTGCCAATTTAGACAGGTCTATCAGGCCTATGTTATGCCCTCCTGAGTAGTTAATACTTCCAAAATCACATTCGGAAATCACTCCTACATAATAAATGCCAACATGAAAAAAGTACATCACGTAGCACACATCTTACCATCATTTTTTCAAAGAGATCCATAACTTCTTTTTCTGATAAGTTCATGCAACGTTCATCAACAAGTGTCTGGGCAAGTGGGATTTCACTTATAGAAGGTTGAGAGTCAATAGGATGCTGAATGAGAGGTTTCTCTTTTTTCACTCCTGATTTTCTGAAGCTTGTTATTCTGTCACGCTGCAAAAGACATCCATTTAAAAATAAGCAGAAATAGAAATACAGGAAAGCAGCCAATTACATGGCCCTAATACACACATTTTTAGTTAATCCAAGCAGCAGAGTTAAAACTCAGACTGAACTTTAAGTAAAAATACCCTAACATTGAGAGATTACTTTTCATAGAAAGACAAAAACATTTAAGTTAAATTCATTACAAGTCACATGCAATAGGGATATAACTATGTTTGGATGTAACCATTTCAAAAGTACACCATCTGTGTTAAACTCTTAGCATTTCACAATCTTGAGTTCACTTTCCCACATTACTCCCTAATTATCCTGATAGTGAAAAAATATGGTACCACAACAGTAATGTCCAAGCATTCCTTCACCTGAAGAGCTATAAGTCTTTGGAGGAGAACTGAAAAAGCCAGTGTTGGGAAGGAGGTACTCACAAGTTCATCAGGTTTATAAAAAAATCCTGCTAAAGTAAAATAAAGTTTGTAGAGGAATTAATGCTCCAGGTATAGTTCACAATTCCTTAAAGTGTTTTTGAGTACGGACTCCTGAAATTAGTGCATAATTTTAAAAAGCCAGGTAACGGATTACTCACACAGAAGCAGCCATCCATAGTTAAATAAACATAACAGACATTAGTGAAAGCATATCATACAGTCTGCAATGACATTTCACTGGTTAGGGCTAACTTGTTTTATACCTTACACCAAATCCCCCACTTTTTTTTTTTTTAAAGCATGCTTACTCAGTTAATTTGTTAATAATGGAAACAACCAACATGAGCACCTTCCTTATAAGGCCATTTATTGCTATATTATTAACACAGAACTCCATTATGAATAGAGTCAGATTTTTATTTAACAATACTGTCTTACTCTCAATATATATATGTTCATTTTGAGAACATTATATCTATAGGAGTTTTTCTAAAATTAACTCTTTGCATCAACAAATACTAGTGTACTTGTTTCAGACACTGTACAGCCTTATGAAGATGTGCTTTCATCTAACAGCAGCTTATGTAGGGTTACCAGCATCATCCATAGCAGTTACTGAAATCTCCATGAAGACATGTAAAACAAAGGTTATGATCTTCTAATTAAACAACCTCTGAGAGATGTGAAAAGTTTAGATTAGTCCAGTCATGAGTGGAGGTATTTGACCAAATGCTGTGGAATATGGGAAAGAAAGGAGGTTTGGGTTTTGGTTGTTTTGTTTCTCTTTTTTTGGGGGTTTTGTTGTTTTGTTTCTTTTTCTTAGTTTGTTATGCTGGTTTTTTTTTGAGATCCTACAAGACTACCTTAAATTTTTTAAGGGAAAGTATCCCTAGATAAGCTGCATGGCCTTTGAATTCTTTTAGAGGGCTTTTTGGTTTCTTTGTGTTTTTTGAGGGGAAGGGTATTAGGTTTGGGTTTTCTTTCTCAGAAGTCTTATATTTGTGGACAGAAACACATGACCTACAAGGATACTGTTAACGTCTTTAACAAGGCAAGAATTTTAATTTCAACCCACGTTTTTCCTTCTTAGAAGGCTTTACATTGCATTTTTTGAAACTAAAATTAGGACACAGCCTAGTGAAAGGCCAAACATATGACAGAATGCTTTTCAGCCATATCAAAAATTAGCCAATTTACACAAAAAGGCATTTCAATTTCACCATACTGTGCTCAGTTTCTAGTATACCATATTAACAAAAAATTTGTTTAATCAGATTGCAATGGTGAGATCACCTTAAAGTCAAATGAATCTTCTACATGATTACCAGGTAAAATTTTTAATTTCAGACATGCAAATCCTTTACTGTTAAAAAGAAGGTTAAGAGAAATAATCTTTGAACTGTGGAATCACTGTTTCAACACACCCACAGTATTGTAAAGCATTCAGAATATGGTTAAAGAATCTTCTTCAACCACATATCATTAATTACTCTTCTTCAACTGAAGTTACAAATGAAGATCTTTAGGAATAGCAACTCAATATCCTTATAAGAACATGTTATATTGTCCACAGCATTTGAAGTAACATAGCATGCAGCGTGGAGTTACCATTGCCAATTAAGATGTTACAAAGACCTTACCACATCATCTGCCAAAGTTTTTATTTGAATATTCTATTAAAAAAAAAAAACATACACACAAATCAAAGAAAAAAGACAATGTTACCTACTGTTTCAGAATAAAGAAGACTCTACTTCATGTATTCTAACATTAAAAAGCACTTGAAATTTTAGTAAGTGTTCTAACAAAATTTCAGCTACATAAACATGGAATCACTGCAGGTTTGGGTTTTTTTAAGTATGCTTGCATCCCATTTCACCTTGTCTTTTGGCTATTTAACTTATGAACGTGAAACCTGTATAGCTCTGGCACACCCACTATTTCACAAAAACGCAGTAAGAGCTCTTTAAAAAGCCTTCCCAGACAAAAATGGACTACTGGACTTAAACCCAGTCAGCAAATAGCTCTAGGACATCCACAGTTTTGAGAGAGTTTTTGAGACTCAGAGCTGAGGAGAATTTCCTGTGCCCTATGGCCATGTTTTAACTAAAACCAGCACACACAGCTTCTTGAGCCTTCTGCCCATTTATCCTTAACACTGAGGAACATAAATTGATAGATCAACTAGTTAAAACCAGTGTACTGATAATGTACAAATCAGTCACTACTATTTCTCCTTCCCTACTACCTTCTCACTTTTTCCTTAACGGCAGTAAAATCATGCTGACAAAGATCATTAACGCTACATTTTTTTTTTCACGGCCAAGAAAGCAATCCATATTGCACACCAGTATCAATAATCATATCGAGGAAGCATTAATTTAATAAGCATTGTTCCATTTACACCAAGCAATCATGAACAGGTAGTTAAGGCCTAGAAGCTGGGGGGGAGAGGATGGAAATCCAAGACAAAAAAAAAAACTGGTGTGTATGAAGGTACCTGTTCCATAATGACAGTCCTGCAAGTCACTGGTTAGGAAACAGTGACCTTATTTTCTTGGACAGCAAAGTTTCCGATTCCCTGGTTATGTGCTCACCAGCCAAAATGATCAAAGTGCTTCCAGTCAATATCCCATGGCTGGTGTACCATAAACACAGCAGACAAGTTCAGTGTTAATAGAAATGAGCCTGTAACTGTTCAACATACACCACAGAACATTTTGCTTCCCCTTGGTAGAAGATACTAATACACCATGCTCCTTCTAATTCTACTTTCTGTCTCTTGGCTGCAGTTGTCAATATTGTATTTCCATAACAAAGACATTTGCAAGACTTTATAAACAATGAAGGAGTCATCAAGGTGGGACCGAGGAGCAGTTCATACTTCAGAAGTATACTCCAGATAAGCATTCAGAGGTGTCCAGGACTATTTGGTGGACTGATCCTGGCTGGCAGGGCAGTCCCCACCCAGCCACTTGTTCATTCCCTCACAGGGGAATCAGGGAGAGAATCAGAAGTGCAATACCAGGAAAAAAACATGGGTTCAGATAAAGACAGTTTAACAAGGGTGTGGTGTGTGTGTGAAACACCAGTGATGCAAGAGCCATGACTGGCCACCAGCCTCTGAGCTGCTACTACTTTATGAAGAAAAAGTGATTCTATTGACAAGCATGATGTTATGTCACAGAATCATAGAATGGTTTGGGTTGGAAGGGACCTTAAAGACCATCCAGTTCCAACCCCCCTGCCATGGGCAGGGACACCTTCCACTAGACCAGGTTGCTCAAAGCCACATCCAGCCTGGCCTTGGACACTTCCAGGGATGAGGCACCCACAGCTTCTCTGCACTAGCTCTTCAGTCAGTTTGGATCAGCTGCTCTGGTTGTGTCAACCTGTGGCCCACCCAAACCTGGTGGGGGGCACAGCAAGAGACAGGCGGCCTTGCCACTAGGCAAGCACTGTTCAGCAAAAGCTAAAGCACTGGTGTTTTATCAACACTGATTTGGTCAGAGATCTAGAATCTAGCACCATATGTGCTACTATGAAGAAAATTAACTCCATCCCAGCCTGAGACAGTACAAACAGCCAGGATAAATTTTTGTCCTCTTACTACTCCAGATGTTGACACCAACCTTTTACCTTCCTAACTGCTGTATCTCAATCCTCTTCCTTACAGCTTCACCTCTCATGTATATTTGCTACCTGGACTTAGTATGGAGTTAAAAGAGCAAGTAATAGTTTCGATTTCAAGATCAGGTTAAGATGTCCTTATTCTGGAAAACACATCTTTTATTTTTAATGGGGATCAAGTGAGTAATAAGTTCAAACTAAGTAAAACCTCACCATGACTTCAACCCAGAGACAGCTATGTAAGCAAGAAATTCTAAAACTGTATATCTATTTTAGCCATTACTTGTACTTCTTTACCCACCTACCACCCCCATCTCATTTAAGTACTGTCAATCTCTCCCAGAACCTGGTACAGGATAATCTACTCCATCTCTACGTTTATATTGCATTTGTCACTCAAACTCCTCTGGACAAAATACAGAATATTAAAGCAAGATACCACACAGAATTTTTTCAGACATCTCAAGCTCACTTCCCAGATGTTCTCATGGTGCATAAGCTACACTGCTGCCAGTAGCTACTCAAGATAAGCAATACATTTAACAGGTATAACAGAAACTGCAAGTAGCTGGAGGCAGAGCCAAGGCAGTTATGTACCTGCAGATTCTCACTGACACACAGTTTTGACAGTCTCTTATAGTAACAAAGAAATCACGCTTCCAGTCTGATTTAAGAACACAAACCAAAAGCAGTTTACCTCCCCATGAAAAAGTTTAAGATACTGCAGTTTCTGTAGTCAGTCCTCTAGCATTATTCTTTCAGCCATCTCTAAGACAGCCAGAGCATCACAAGATGAAGAGAAATTAACCTTTTCTGAGCTTGTTAAAGACCCTAACTCCCTGATTTTAGAAGCAACCCAAAGGCAAAGGTATTGCTGAAATGTGTTGTAAAACATTTGCAGATATGGGATATCAAATTAATACTTTTTATACA